CCTTAAGGTACAGTACAAGGATTTTGAGGGTTCTTTAGATGTGTTGGTTTTTGGGGGTGAACGTGTGAGTCTTATTGGACTCGTTTGGTTTGAGGCTCTGGGAATCCAGGTCACAGGGCTGCACCATTTGCAAACGTCTAGCCTTGCAGAAGTCTGCAGGGAATTTACAGATGTGTTCAACTCTGAGCTTGGAACCGACAAGGGGCCTCCAGTTTCACTACGATTAGATCCATCCATAGCACCCATTAGGGTCAAGCCTAGGAGAGTTCCATTTGCACTTAAAAACAAGATTGATGCTGAACTGGACAAATTGCTCCAGCAGGGCATTCTAGAGCCTATAGATTCTAGTCCTTGGGAAACCCCCATAGTAACACCTTTAAAGGCTAATGGGGACATTCGTATTTGTGCGGACTACAAGTGCACTCTAAACAAGGCACTACAGCAACACGCTTATCCAGTGCCTGTAGTAAGTCACATTCTGGCTTCCCTAAAAGGGGGGAGATTTTTGCGAAGCTTGACTTGGCACAGGCCTATCAACAGTTGCCTGTTGATGAGGCAGCTGTGAGGCTCAGACAATTGTGACTCATAGAGGAGCTTTTAATGTGAAGAGATTGCAATTTGGGGTAAATGTAGCCCCTGGCATTTTCCAGAGTGTTATGGAGAACACACTGAGGGGTATTCCAGGAGTCTGTCCATATTTTGATGATGTCCTCATTGCAGGAGAATCACCTCAAATCTTGGCTGAGAGATTAAGGGCTGTCTTGCTTCGTTTTAGGGAAGAAGGTCTCAAGTTAAAAAAGGACAAGTGTAAGATAGGAGTCAATTCTACTGACTTTTTGGGATTCAGGATAGATGCTCAAGGTATCCACCCTTCTGAAGCTAAATTAAAGGCCATTCAGCAGGCCCCAAGCCCTAAGTCTAAAGGGGAACTACAAGCCTTTTTGGGGCTACTAAATTTTTACCATGCCTTTCTGCCAGACAAAGCTGCTATAGCTGAGCCATTGCACAGGCTCTTAGACAAACAAGCCTGTTGGCAGTGGACTAAGGTCTATGAAAAAAGTTTCAATGAGGTTAAGGCCTTGCTTACTTCTAATGCTGTACTGGCTCACTTCAGTGAGCAGTTGCCTGTTTGCATTGCCTGTGATGCTTCTCCATATGGAGTGGGGGCTGTTCTTAACCATCTGTTGGCTGATGGGACACAGGTCCATGTAGCGTATTAGTCCAGAACCTTGTCTTCTGCTGAGTGGAACTATGCTCAGATTGACAGGGAGGCGCTAGCAATTGTGGCTGGCATTAAGAAGTTTCATGATTTCATATACGGCTGCCATTTCATGGTCTACACCAGTGGTTCTCAACCTTTCTAATGCCGTGACCCCATAATATAGTTCCCCATATTGTGGTGACCCCCAAGTGGGTGTGGCCACCAATAAGAGGGAGTAGGACAGCTAGGGAAAAGGGAACAAAATGGTGGACAGCATGGTTTGGCGACCCCCATGAAATGGTCGTTCGACCCCAAATGGGGTCCCGACCCACAGGTTGAGAACCACTGCTCTACACTGACCATAACCCTCTGCTAGGGTTGTTCACCACAACCAAACAGACCCCACATATTCTTTCTCCTCATATGCTGCGTTGGTCCATTTTCCTGTCAGCATATGACTACTCTTTAATTCACAAGCCTGGAAAGGAAATGGGTCATACTGATGCTCTGAGTAGATTACCCCTTCCAACACTGGAGCCTGATCCTGCTTCAGCCATTAATATTCTGTCCATTCAAGAGCTGCCTGAGTCTCCCCTCAATGCAAGGGATGTGGCTGCTGAAACTGCCACTGACCACACGTTCACACGCATTCTGTCATGGGTGTTGTCAGGATGGCCTGACAGATGCCCTGATACTGAGTTTCAGAGTTTCTGGCAAAGAAGACATGAGTTGTCCACTTTCAAGGGTTGTCTGCTATGGGGAAGTAGGGTAGCAATCCCTACCTCACTGAGGACTAGAGTGCTGCATTCTTTACATGAGGGACACCCTGGCATTGTCAGGATGAAGGCACTTGTACGCAGCCATTTGTGGTGGCCTGGCCTCAATAAAGCCATTGAAGCTCAAGTGCATGGGTGCCATGTGTGCCAACGGTCCTGGCCTGAAATGCCTCAGGCCCCAGTTCATAGATGGGAGGAAACTTACACCCCATGGTCCAGGGTACATATAGATTACACCTTTCAGGGGCAATTCTTCTTGGTTGTTGTTGATAGCCATTCTAAGTGGCTAGAGGTTGTTCCTGTGTCCTCCACTACTGCTGCCAAGACTATCCAGGTGCTGAGAAGTATTTTTGCAACTCATGGCCTTCCAGATGTTCTCGTTTCAGACAATGGTCCTCAATTCACCTCTTCTGAGTTCCAAGTTTTCCTCCAGGCCAACATGATCCGCCATGAAACTTCTGCTCCTTTCCACCCATCCACCAACAGAATGGCTGAACATATGGTGCGCACCACCAAGGATGCCCTTAAGAGACTGACTTATGGTGACTGGCATCACAGGTTAGCAGACTTTCTTCTTCACATCGCACCACACCTTGCACTGCCACTGGAAAGAGCCTGGCTGAACTTCGTTGAGGTCGCCGGCTCATTACCAAGCTGGACAGACTGCACCCTGACCGGGTAGCGTCTCAAGGATCACGTCCACAGCCACCAAGGTGTCTGCAAGTGGGTGCTCCTGTTTGGACCAGAAACTATGGGCCTGGTCATCTCTGGGTACCAGCTGTGGTCTGCAAGGTCTCGGGGCCCTTGTCCTATGAAGTGTCCCTGGAAGACCGCTGCATTCTTCGGAGGCACATAGATCAGCTGCGTATGAGGCTGGAGTCTCACCCTTCCACTCCTGGCTCTGCTCTGGGGGAGGGGGGAAGAAGGTTATAGAATACATTCTGAGTATCAATGTCAGCAGCCAGTGTCGGCAGCTGAGGAGATCATTGATCTCCCATCCCGAGATTCTGCAAGTGCTCCAAACAAGAATTCATGGGGCAGAGAACTACCCTACACACCAAGACGCACTCCAGCCAGGGAGTCATGCCAGGGGCATCCACATATCCCATACAGAAACAGTAACACTCCAGACAGGGAGGATAACCGGGGGTATTCACAGAACTCACAGAACACGCAAGAAATGGCAACACAGCTAGGAAGCAGGTTCAATTCTGCAACTGTTTCCAAAAGGAGGTCCTATGTAAGGGGGGCAAGCATAGAGGCCTCTCCTCTCTGGCACTGCAGGCATGACCGTGGGGTCCGCCGAATACTGGGACCCCTTATACCTGTTTCACAGGGCACATCCGAAAACGGTTGCTGGCTCAAGGACATAGGTTCTCAGGAACCATCCAGAGTAGTTCTGGAATCCTCAGCCAACTCAGAAGGTTGGGAGAGTGCAGCTGCTCTCACAGAGCCTGGGGGAAACTCTGGCATTTCTACCGGTACGCCCTACCAGGGGTCACCTGCAAAACCTGTGCATAAAAGTCCTGGTCTAGCGAGCCCATCAGGTAGGCCGATAGGCCAGGCGCCCTTAAGGTCAAGTCCTGGTCTGTCCAGTTGAGCAGGGGAGCTGTCAGGCCAGGCACCCTCCCTCATCCTGCGAAGGCCCCAACGGGTTAAGGCCCCTCCTAAACACCTAGATGAGTATGTAAGGTTCTTTTCAGCATAAGGATAGTACAAGTCTATGGTGAGGAGATGGAACCTATGTGGGTAACAACAGAGAGGCACACATTAGAGAGTGGCAACAAGTTGTAACAAAATGGAGTGTCTATAGGATGAAAAGAAATTTATTATTATTTTATATTTTGTATGGATTGTAAGAACAAGTACCGTGTGTGTTCTAGCTAAGAGGGGAGGGGTGTTGTGTCCTGAGCCTGCAAATGCAGGCTCAGGACATATTCAAGGTTCCCAGGCAATTGCAAAAGCTGCCCAGGACCAGACTGAGTGGCGCCGACCAAGCGTGCATGCGCAAGGTGCGAAAAGTGCCTAGTAATGTTGCTATCTTGTCCAGGGAATGCAGACGTATAAAAGGAGGCCTGCGTGTCTTTGCTTGTTGCTGGAGTTTGAAATAAGCACAATAAAGAGCTGTTCCAGAAACGTGTATTCTTCACTCGCCATCGCTCCCAGGACTTAACAGTTCCAATTATGACAAATTCACAAACGCAAAATCATCATTAATTATGCTGCCTTTTCATTGTGTGGTCTAGTTTGCAGCACTTTGATTACAACCTCTGAATTTCTGGGAAATGTAGATGAATACTCTGACAGTGTTCCCTCCCATGCTTGCAATGCTGTAGTTTTCTACTATCTGACCAAAGCATTCAGAAGCCACAGCACTGTAGCTCCCGAACTTAAAAGAACATTTTGTCAGGCTACATCGTGATTTGTAACTAACAAGATCCATCTCTTCAGACACTCAGTGCAGAAATTCTGTATTAGTACTTAGATTGGGGATTACATGGGTAGTCCAGGGATATCAGGTTGTCCTCTCACGCTTAGTTCTGACTTATTCCTGATCAAGTGTAAACTAATCCAGTGTGTGAGAAATGAGAATCATCCAGTAGGCTGATATCAGTGCAAAAAAGTAGCATGCTATGTTTGCTCCCCAAATTTCTATGCCCAATGACTAAATTGATGCTCCACAATCCTGTTCCTATGGAAATATCATAAGAAGCTGTTGTTTTAAAATAAGATGCCAAACATTAGCATAATTTATGCAAACAGTGGAACTAGTTTCAGTTCACTTATTTAAACACTTAGTTCGCCATTCCTAGACAGTTTAAACTAAAATAAATAAGTAACTATAGTTGACAGAGATGTATTTCTGAACTTTCAGCCGAGCACAATTGCAAGAGACAGATCAGAACCATTTTTACAAGGACCTGATTTCTTTGTTTGCTTTGTTTCTGGCCTAATGAAATATACCAGTTAGCATTAACAACATTGGTTTAACCTGTATCTCATTTTCTCCATGTATTTTCCAGGTGCAGAATCAAAATCCTCTTCTTCTATCCAATCTCTATTCCCAGCCACTTGGTCAAGTTTGCAGCATTGTCAAGCTGAATCCCCAGAAAGATGGTTCCCAGACAAGAAGATGGCATCAGGTGCATTTTTAAAAAACATAACCTTATTTTTAGCTTTGAAGCTATGGGTATGGCTGGGTGGGTGACTATGATGGACTATAGTATAGCTTGCCCTAAAGCAGGGGTAGGCAACCTTGGCTCTTTTATAACTCATGGACTTCAACTCCCAGAACTCCTGAGCCAGCATGGCTCAGCTTGGAAACCTCTCTCTTTCCCCTCAGCCTGGCTGGCTCAGGAATTCTGGGAGTTGAAGTCCACGAGTCATAAAAGAGCCAAAGTTGCCTACCCCTGCCCTATAGGATAAAGCTGAGCTTGTAGGCAGAGCTTGCACTCTAAAATGAATTTCAGGATTTATTTCAAAGATAATTGGATATTGAAAGAAAAGACAAGCTTTAGAAAAGATCAAAGCACTTATTGGCATACTGGTGGTCCTCAAATTTATAATCATAACTGAGCTTGCAAGTACAGCTGTAAGTTGTAGCACTCACATCACCATACTCAATTTTACAACGTTTTATGTGGCAGTTGTTTAGCAAACTCATTGTTCGCTATCTGGCAAAAACGTTGTAAGTTGTGGTCATGTGACCATGGGATGCTGCAAATAGCTATAAATGAGGGCAGGTTGCTAAGCACCCAAAATGCAGTCATGTGATTGGAGGGGGTAGTGGCTGTTGGAAGTTCAAATCTGGATAAGTAGCTTTTTCATTATAATTTTGAACAGTGGCTGGTCATAAGTTGAGGACTACCTGTACATGTTAGCACTGAATCTAACTAGTTTATCTGTTTTAATTATTTCTATGGAAAGGAGGCGAGAATCCCAAGATGCTTAAATTTCTATCTCAGAGAAGAGGTAGAAGGGAGAAACGAATTGTTTCTCTCGGAAGCAACCAATTCATGGTGCCATATAGAGGTTTCCAGGCCTTCAATTTCCCATCAGAGAGAAGGAAGTATAAATGCAATGGCCTCTAAAGGTGCTTGAAGTGCTTTGAAGAGAGGTTTCTGAAAGAGCAGGTCCTTTTCCACTGTTACAGCAGGGATAAAGAGAGAGTTGTCTGGTGGTGTGTAATATGAATGGGGCAGGTATGTATGTAATGTAAGAGAAAAGGTTAGACCAGTAGACTTTGAATGTTGAAGTAGGTCTTTGTTACCATAAGCTCACAATGTACTTCTAGGCATTTCTAGCTCTGATGGCAAAGAAAGATTCCTTATCCTTGATTTAAACAAAGTTCATTGAAAAGTTAGGGCCATTTCCTACTATGTAAAATATGTTATTCATGGTCCTTGGTGCAGAATGACTTCAGTTAGCAAAATGCCTGCACCCATCATAAGGATGAGATTAGCGTGATAAACACTAGAGTTATTTGGATCTAACTCTGGAAAATATGGTTACCATATAAAATCTGCCTTGTCACTTTTTCTGAGAAAAAATGTTATTTTATTATAGCAAGTAAAAGTGAATGACATGGCCATGGTGACGTTCTCCCTGTTATAAGATATGCCTTTGCGCTATTTGAACTGGTTGTTGGTGAATTAAAATTCAACCCTACATAGAGAAACTAGTAGAAAAAGCAAAATGCAGTAGGAGACCTTATTCCTTTTTAAAAAATACAAGAGGCTTAATAAACTTCAAAGAAACCATTGGGTTTTTTTTTACTTGGAACTCCAATATAGTTTATAATTGAGTGTAAATCAAATCACATTTTACGTTTACAGATGGATTAGCAGAGCTGACAAAAGAAGAAGGGAAAATTTAAGTGAACCTACCGTTGTTTACAAACCTTATACTGTATCTTGGCAGCTTTGAGGCCCTTGTCAGCTATTGATGTATTCCAGACTTTTAAACATTTTTAGATTGCTAGAAGAGGGAGGAAGCTGCATTGTGATTTTTTTAAAAAGAGGCCTTAGTCTTCATTAACACAATTTACTGCCTAAATGTCCTTGCTCTAGGGCAGTGGTGGCAAACCTATGGCACAGGTGCCAGAGGCGGCACTCAGAGCCCTCTCTGTGGGCATGCACACCATCACCCCAGTCCTAGGCCTTCAGCTGAGTTTTATAAAACCTTTTCGCTTTAGGCCTCCACCACCATGTGCAAAAAAAAAAAAAAAAGGTTCAATCAATCAGTCAATTTCAACTTCTTGCGGGGGGGGGGGGGGAAGATCTTGCAAAGTTGGAATTGATTGAACTTTTTAGTCCCACCCAGTCTGCTGTTACCACCGCAGCCCACGCCCACCCAATAGGCCATGCCCACCCAATGGGCCACACCCATCCAATGGGCCACACCCACCCAGCACCCGACGATGCATAAGTGGGTTTTGGATTGCAGTTTGGGCACTCGGTCTCTAGGAGCTTTATGGCAATGTTGGATATATGAACCTGGCTGGATTTTTCACTTTATAGCTATTACAGGTTATCTCACCTTCCTCCCAACATTAAGCATATAATTGTGTGTAAAGCAGCTGTTTTTTTTTTTCAAGAACAGCTCATCCTGATGGTCCTTTTCTCCAAGGTGGTTTCTGCAAACTCCTTTGAGAGGTTCCAAAAAGATTAGTGTTACTCTGGAGACATTTTAGTGATACCTGTTATTATATAGTGAAATAATTTCAAGATTCTCTCATTCAATCAGGGATTTTTTAAAAAAAACTAACATGTTCTGCCTTGTTTCATCAGTAACATTTTGAGTTCACCCCAGGTTTTGTTCGAGGCAGGTTAGAATAAACCATCATAAAAAATCAAAATAACTTCTGGTAATTCATATCTTTACTATAAATTTTATTGCAAAGTTGATTAATGAATTTATTAAGAAATGAATGTCCTACATATTTTATTCCAAGTGCTGGACACTATATAACTCCTGTAATTGAACTGGCAAGAGGCAAAGGATAAATGTGTTTGGAGTTACGTTTCTTCCATCAGTTTTTACCTACATTCTAGTTTGCTATAACTCTGGGGATGAACTCAAAATGTATATTTAAAAGTGAATTTTCACCTGCACCAAGTAATGTATAATATATAATTGCTATCAGACACCATATTACCATAAATATTTTGATGTATTTAATCTTTCACGAACAACATTACAATACCCAAAGAAATGGGAAATTGACATCTCAAATAAAACGAGAGCCCATTTGATGTGGTGGGGAAGGTACTGATTTAAAAAAAAACTAGGAGACTGTGGGTTCTAGTCCCTTCCTTAGGCATGAAAAACCAGCTGGGTGACTTTGGGCCACTTTCTCTTTCTCAGCCCAGCTCTTTAAAGATTAACTAATTTTATTATCCATAAAAAATTTCCCTGGTCTTACCTACTTCATGAGATTAAAATACTCATGAATGAGGTATTTTTAGTTCGGAGGGAAGCAGGTAAAAAGTAGTCATGAAAATAGGTAGCATTGTTTTAAGGCCCTGAAGAGATAGAAACAACATTCCTTAGATCACGGTAATAAATAAAGTGGTAGTATTAGACTACCGTTTTGTCTTTTAAGCCCTTAGAACAATTCTGCCCCTTCTCACAATTCCATTCTCTCTTGCAACCTCATTTTCTATATTGATTCTATTCAGCTGATGAAATGTACTTGAGTATCAAAGAGGATTTTCAAAATAATAAGTGTACAAAAATGTAAAGTGTGGGAATCGATGAGGAGAGCAAAGTTAAAAGTGGCCATCTGGGAGGTCGGAATATTAATCTTTTAGCTTCTCTGCCTTGTTAAGAGATCATACCAATGCTACCCCAATACTAAAAGGCATAATAGATTTATTTTGGGAATATGAGCTTCAATGTTCAGTCCCAGTTTAGGCTGGAAGTCTGGAAAAGATTTCTGAGTCACCAGGGAGCTGCTGTTACTCAGTCAACATCCTTGGACTTGATTGTCCATTCTTTGCCAGTGTTTAGCAGCTCCTTTTATATTCCCATGCCCCCCTTCATTATAGCCTTACTTTACTTCCTCTAAAAAAGTTGACAGTGGTCCTTCTGCCTGCATGGTGACTTATCAGGTAACCCCAAAGAACTGGATCCAGGAAGTCATCCTGCACAGATAGGAGAGGGCACTCTGGAAACTGAGTCCGTGTCACTGGCTGTAGGGGAAGGGTTCCCAAATGGTAAGTCTTTGTCTAATTGCTATTTTATGTTGGAAGGAAGGAAGGAAGGAAGGAAGGAAGGAAGGAAGGAAGGAAGGAAGGAAGGAAGGAAGGAAGGAAGGAAGGAAGGAAGGCTGGCTCACTGAATTTCATTTCTTCAAAAGGAGCACTAGTGTTCTTCACATCATATTGCTACTAGCAGCGTAAAAGAGTAAGCTATGGAAATGGAAGGAGTGAAGGGGAATAATATTTTTGACAGCTACTCTGTAATTCTAGATGTCAGTGCAAAAGGTATGAAGATTGATCAAATGATGTGCCAATTTCTTATATCAGCTGACACCTTACCAACAGTTAAACAGTATTCAAAATGTTTGTGCGTAGAGCCTATTTGGATTGAATTACAAATATAGGGTTTATAACTGAAATGAATGAGCTCCCACTCTGAAACATTCTCCAATAACTATTGATTTTCTTGCAATAATTGTTATGAAGTCAGCCACAGAAAAAAAGATATGTGCTAAAAAATATCTCCATAATAGAAAAATTTGGGGGAAATGAGGTGTTCTAACTTAAATCTTGAGGGTGAAACAACTGATTTTAGAATTATGTTAATAGATTGCAGTAACAGTAAATGGTGAAGGAAACAAAAAGTCAGGATGGAAAAGTTGTTATTGAGTTAGTTTGGGGAGAGATAGCAAAGGAGACTTTGCTATATTAGGCAGAAATTGGCAAGCATCTTATTCTATAAGTTCCTCTTAGATTTGCTAGGCATATCAAAAACTCCATCTTTTGCCTGTTGAGACCTTTTATGCATATTTTCTATTTGTATGTGTATCTTCCCTGAGGATGGAAGACCAACGGCAACAGATGTAATCCACACATTCTTAGCATCCCTTCCTAGAACCATCATGAAGCCCAGTTTTTTTTTTCAACTGCTGCACCTCAGTTTCTGGCTGCAGATGTGAAGCTGCTTTCCAACTATAATTACCGTATGCCACCTAGTGCAGGGATAACCAATTTGATGGCTTCTAAATGTCTTAAACTGTAACTTTCATAATCTTCAGGAACTGTCTTTTATCTGGATGCCAACCAAGCTTTTTCTTTTTTAAGAATCTCTAGAAGATAATAGCTTTCCTGCTTCTGTTCCCTTGCTTCATTTAAACTAGTGCAGAAGAGTTTTATTGTTATACAGCTATAGCTACAGTTATAATTTTTTAAAAAATAGACCTTTCCGTGATCTAGAGTCCTTATCTATTCAAAGTAATGGAAGTAAGAAAAGTTTAAATATATCATTTTTCTCCCATTTAATTTCCTCTCTTTCTCTTTCTCTTGAAGCAATTTCTCTTTCATTTTCTGTCAAGAGTCGCTCTGCACAGGATCTCAATCTGCAGCTACAAGAGGCAGCAAGAAAGAAATTATGGGCCCTGGAAAATGATGATAAAGATGTTTGTGCTGTTTTCAAGGTGAAGTGGTTGTTACTATTGTTTTCAGAGGAAACTGTACGTCTGTAACTTCTTGCTAGCTTGTTGCACAGCTGTATGGCATCTTCTCATATTGCTTCGCATGGCTGCATAACCCCACCAGAGATTGGAATATTACCATCTCCATTTATTATTTATTGCTAAGTGACATTGTGAGTGCAGTAAAATGTGGAAATCAAACTATCAATAAGCCTCTGACCTATAAAATAAAATGCTATGTGTAAACACACACACATATAGCCTTTTCCTCCCTGACTCAAAATAATTTAAGCATAGCTAGGCTACAGCTGCATTAGACCCAAATTACAGATGTGTACTTCATGCCCGTGCAAATTTTAACCTAGATATTTGGGCACAATTTAAATGATGCAAAATGTTTTAGAATGATTTTATTAACATTCATTAACATCTTAAATATGTATAGCACACTCATTCATACAGTACCGATCTCTAGTTGTAGTAAAAAATCCTTGGAAGAGACCCAGGGTTTTGGATGCAGGACAAAACTGAAGGAAATATAAGCTGTTTGGGCAAAAACCAACCATATTCAATGGACTGACTTGCAAAATGCTGTGTTTTGGGAATAGGGATGATGGAAAAATAGGATAATGGGTTGTCATAGTTTGAAGAAGATACAGCTGGCTAGCACATGGATCTGATCAGGCTTCACTCTGTACCTTATTTTAGACCCCATATTTAAGAATGAATCCTTAATTACTGATTAGATTTCATTGTCCCACCTTGTCTAAAGCTCCAAGTTCCAAATGTCATGCCTATAATTTGCAAAAAAAAAAAAAAAAAAGGATGATAAGGCACATGCTAACCTTTTACCATATTTAACTCTTCTCCTTTTCTGTCTTTTTGCAGGAGCTGTCAGCCAGGCTGGTATGCATCCAGGCACAGGAGAATCGCTTTCTGCTCTCCTTCAGAACTGTGGAAGAAATCTGGAAGTTTTCCACTTATTTGGCACTTGGTAAATCACACTCCACTGAGGAATGACTGGCCTTCCATCAGAAGGGCAGTTGTGGGAACATAAAATATATTGGCCATAATGTTAAGGCAGAACTTCAGGGCAAAACACGAGCCACTTCTAATTTTCTTTTCAAAGACTAGTTTAATATGCTACAAACGTCTCTGTAATACAGGCACTGGAAAAGCACATTCTCTGTTAATGAGACTCTATAGCAGAGGTCCCCAACCTTTTGGGCACCAGGGACCACTTCTGTGGAGAGAGGGTTTTCAGTGGCCCAGAGGGGGTGTGGTTTCATGTACTGTGTGCATCCCGCGGATGGGGCTTTGCTTGTTTGCACGGACCAGTTTCTGGCATGCAACGGCCCGGTGCCAGTCCAGGGATCGGGGGTTGGGGACCCCTGCTCTATACAATAGCTGATAATTTGGGTTAAACTTTGGTCTGAGATAATAAATAAATACAGCTTGGCCTTTGGGGAAAGCACATTACAGGTTTTCGTTCTTCCTTTGGTATGATGAAATAGGATATGTGGGTTGCTGCCTGGAACAACTTCTCTTCACTCCTGAGTACTGGTTGAACTGTGCTCAGGTAGATGATACTGAGATCATTGTCACGGTTGATGAGGACTGCATGGCCACCATGTATCTGGGTCTTCTGCTGCAGGAAGGTAAGGATCCTGAGTCAGAATCCAAAAAAAACGATGCTGTGATGCTGTTTCACTGTAAAGTAGGTCTCCAATATGGCGAGGAAGAAGGATGTGGGAGAAAGATATGCAGGAAAATATTGTATTGGAGGCTGAGTCTATGCATGTTCAAATATCTCTAAAACTTATTCTGGTAACAGGTAGTATTTGCACATTTACTTCCAATGGGACCCTTCCAAGAGCAGAGAACTGTCTGGTACTAATCCTGAGCCATGGCTAGACAAAGTGTGGAGGACATAAATGAATATAAATAATTTCCTTCAGCTGAAACAAAGTGTTTCATTGCAGATATCTTCTGTAATGTAATTTTCTTTCTACTTCTTTTTTCCCCTTCCTTCCTTCCTTCCTTTCTTTCTTTCTTTCTTTCTTTCTTTCTTTCTTTCTTTCTTTCTTTCTTTCTTTACATGTAAAAACACATTTTAAACTATTGGGAAACATTGAACTGTCTCCATATTAGACTACAGTGGGGAGAAAAGAATTTGAACCATTAAATAATTGTCTTTAAAGTGACATTGAACTATATGAAATATTCTCACAAAGAAGAAAGCCTCTGAGATCTTTGGGTGGGGCGGAATCCTATGATAGCAGATAGTTTCATGTTTGCAGCACCATGACAGGAAAAAAAACTGTTCCTGGTATTTAAATGGAAATTGAAATGATTTGGAATAGAACTTTTAGAGATCTAAAAATGTGCAAGCGTTCTTAGGAAAGTAGATACTGCCCCACTATTTGCAGAAGTCGCGTTGTTTCTTTCTCTTCTCCTCTTTCGGTAAATAGGCAGCTTTTTTGCCAGAGCAACACTCACCATCCTTGCAGAAGAAGAAGAAGAGGAGGAGGAGGAGGATTTAAAACTCCTCAAGAATGAATTAGTCCATGTGAAAGACATTGGACATGAAACCAAGTGGGAAGGGACATCACTGTTGACCGATCAGAGGGGTCTGATATCTATCACAACTATAGAGCCATTGCCCCCTCCATTTTACCAGTAAGTAGATTGTCTGTTGCCCTGTCTACATCCAACTGTTGTACTGTGACTACATGCTGAGTTCACTTGTGCTACCTCAAGCAAAATATCATTTTCTAACTTTGAGATTAAAATCGGCTGCTGTTTGTCATGTATACTTAAAATCTTATTTTCAACCTCTAATTCACTTATAACGTTTACAGTAATGTTCTCATTAGAATGGTTTGCAAATTTGGTTTGTGTACAAAGACGTATGTTTGTTTAATAGGGATTTTTTTTGGGTTCTTCAGATATTCATAACTCTTCATGTCATATTTGCCAAAACAAGATTTAGTGTGCTAGATTTAAGAATGCTGACAAGCTTTTTAAAACAGAAAGGTTTCTGCTTTTTAAAAAAATCATGTCTGTCAAAATGTACGCACAAACTATATGGAAAGGTCAGATCAATATTCTTTCTACAGAACATTACCTTATGCCTAGGCAATCTTCTCTAGATTTGCATTGGCTTCCGTGACTGTGAATCTCTCTCTGACCATTATTCCTGTCATCTGCTGCCTGCCTTTTTTTAAGTGTAGGAGTTGGGGATGTAATTTTGTCTGAAAAGCATTCGCCCTAGTACCAAGATCAACTGTCTCCATAAGTCAGATATTTTGAAAACACTGATGAGTTATCCTGGTATTTGTATCTATATTTTATCTCCAGAATCTTGATTTGTATTTTATTTGTGTAATACTCTTTTAAGATAGGCATCTAAACTATTGCTATTATTATTACCACCATATTGTTGGGTCATGAATTCCATGAATGAATTATAAAAGAGAAGGCATGCAAAGACTCTGGTGCCATGGAACAGATCTAGCAACTAATTATCTCCTACCTGGATATCATCAACCATATATTTCCCTCAGAGAAGCAGTTTGTTCATAGCTGTTTGCATTTGCAGGTGGTTTTTGAAGAACTATCCAATCAGTTGTGGCATATCCAAAGAAATCAGTGGGTCTGACTCTTTGCAGATTGGTGAGTGTAATAAAACTCAAGATCAGTTTGCTTAAAAAAATTATTAATTGACCACCTCCCTTTTTATTTCACTTGTTCTCTATCTGCCACATTCATAGGACTTTCAAGACCAGAACTGTGCCATTTGTTCTCAATGTGTATGTGAGTGTGTGCATGCGTGTGCGTGTGTATGCATATATTGTATGTATTTATACACACACACTTGCACAAATATACAACATGTCTCTCTGTGTATTTAAAAAAACAAAAACAATTCAAATTTTGAAAGCAAAAGAAAAGGAAAGAAAAATTTAAAAATGCAAAGAAAAGATAAAGAGCGTTATAAAGAAACTTCCTCCAATCTTCTGAACAGCAGTTAAAAGTATATTGATATTTTACGCTCTAACTCTAAGGTTACAACCCAATTTTCTTTTTTTTCTCATAGTCTTCTCTTTCTAATCATTAAACCTATAAATCACAAGTTCATTTTTTTGTCTCTTTTCAGCAGAAAGTCCATAAGGGATTACAATATAGTCATTGTCCTTTCTCTAATCAAACAAGACAATTTTGTCATCTCTGCCAATTCTGTCATCTTTACCAGCCATTCCTCCCTTATGGGTATTTCATAATCTTCCCATTTTTGTATATATAATCATCTTCAAGCTGTCACTATACATAACAGCAATCTTCCATAATTATTTTCTAATTTTCTATCTATTAGTCCCCCAATAAAAAGTTCTGCTTTCAATTAAGTATTCATTAAAATTCTTGGCATCATTGTATATATATTTGAACCTCAGATTTTCTGGCTTCCATTCGTTCTCATTGTAGCAGTCCTGCTTTTGAACAGAATGAGAATGTCACTATAACCCTGCAGGAAAGAAGAATTGTCAATTTTTACCATTGTGATCTTTGCTGGAAAAGTGATTTTAGTGTCAGAGTTGTGGGGGGGGGGAATTGTATGTTTGTAAAGAAATGGTTGGTAGTGGACTCAAAGGAAGCCTACCTCTGTGCATGTATGACCTCTATTTCTAACTTATCCAATCCAATATGAGTATGGTGGTTACACATCTCTGATTAGTTTGATTCATAAAAAGGCAGAAAAAATACTGCCAGGCATGATACTTGTCTTATTTTAACTAACAAATGGAACCATTGGAAAACATTTTCCTTTCTGTTTAGTTATCTTTAGAACATGTTAGTCTGGAGTCTAAAAATATTGAGAAAAATCCCCTCCAGTTTTCTAAGGATGTTTGTGTTGATTTGGATTTTTAGAAAGACTATCCCTGTTGCTTCTATTATTTTATAGCTTGCTGAGAAAGTGGGGAAATTCATGAACACTTGGCCAACATTTAAAGTGCTGTATTTTTTTTTTCAGGGATTTTCCAGCAATCAGTGAAAAAGGGTTTATTTGTTCAGGATTTTTTGCCTTCCTGATTAGCAAAAAAGACATCTGTGTGACCAATTTAGACTGAGCTGCTCTCAGCGCTAATTAATTTGCTAAAAAATAGCAAAAGATCCATGATAACAACAACAACAACAACAACAATAATAATAATAATAATAATAATAATAATAATAATAATAATAAAGTTGGAAGGGACCTTGGAGGTCATCTAGTCCAACCCCCTGCTCAGGCAGGAAACCCTATACCATTTCGGACAAATGGCTGTCCAGTCTCTTCTTAAAAACTTCCAGTGTTGGAGCATTCATTGCTTCTGGAGGCAGGTTGTTCCACTGATTAATTGTTCTAACTGTCAGGAAGTTTCTCCTTAGTTCTAGGTTGCTTCTCTCCTTGATTAGTTTCCATTAGTTTGATGTAGGGCAAATATTTTTGTCAATGACTATTTCCCTCCCACCCACAAAACCCCCTGTAACAAATTGAAATGTCTTCAGAGCTTCTTATATGTCTGTAGAATAAATAACTGCCTGGTGTTTTGTTTTGTTTTTTTAAAAACTACTGAAGAAAACAAAAATGTCATGGAAAACAAAGAGTTTTTGTTTTAATGCTTCGTTTGCACACATACACATCCTCCACTGCCTCTTGCCATGGTGCTGCTGTGAGAGAATGATACAATTGTTCAGCCTGCTCATTCTATTTTTCAGGGCAAGGGAGATGCACAGCTATGGAAGATCACAGAGGAAAAAGCTGGGATGAACTGAGTTACTGCAAAGGGGATATCCTAGAGGTGATCGGCTTTCTCATTCCGGGTCTCCGTTGGTTTATAGGGAAATCCACAACTAGCGGGATAATTGGCTTTGTCCAGACCAAATCAGTACAGCTTGAGAATTATGAATCAATGTAAGTATGATGTGTGTGTGTGTGCTTATATAAAAATAAAAAACAGAGGTGGAAACCAAGGCAGAATTCACGACCTTCAGATCATCTAGTTGAAACATGGCATGATCCAAGCTTTTATATTTAAGATGTAAAACGGGTGCATAGAATCCTGGGTAAAAAAATAAATATTATTTGTTCAAACCATATGATAAAAATTAAAGAAAAACAAAAAACAGAACCTTTCACGTGGTCTCAATTTTTCCTTGATTGTTGTGGCAGAAGTAGTCAGAGGAACACGGAGTTCTCTTTTCTCCATGGATTGGAATTTTTCCCTGCTCCCAAAGCTGTGTTGCATCAAGCAATCCAGATTTATGATTTGAGTTTTGTGGGCTTTTTTGTTATCTTTTTTTTAACTACATCTTCTCACCGCTCAAGGTTTACTGACCATCCTTTCAAGGTCAGTAAAATGAGGACCCAGATTGTTGGGGGCCAATATGCTGACTCTATAAACCGCATAGAGAGGGCTGTAAAGCACTATGGAATGGTATATGTCTAAGTACTAAGTGCCATCTTAAACATTATAGCCATTTCCACCAACCTTATTAAGCTCTCCTTTAGAATATTCAGCATTTTATTAAAATGTATGCCCTTTTTCTCCCAGTTGTTGTTACATCAGCTATAAATAAGCTTGTCTGAGGTTGTGATAAGTGTTACCTATGATATAATAAGAATATTTTGGTAAATATTAGCACAATATTAGAAGAGGTTTCACTTTCATGTATAGGAATTACACATTGTGTTTATTTTATCCTTCTTTGTTGAGGAAGTCCCAGGGGGCTAGATTCATATCTCGAGATATTATCCAAACACTCTTTCACAGGCAACTATACTGTAGCTAAGTGAACATGTGTTAAGCCCAAATTGTTGTTTTGTTGTTAATTGCGAAGTCGTGTCCGACCCATCGCGACCCCATGGACAACGTTCCTCCAGGTCTTCCTGTCCTCTACCATCTTCTGGAGTCCATTTAAGTTCACACCTACTGCTTCAGTGACTCCATCCAGCCATCTCATTCTCTGTCGTCCCCTTCTTCTATTGCCCTCAATCTTTCCCAGCATTAGGCCTTCTCCAGTGAGTCCTTCCTTCTCATTAGGTGGCCAAAGTATTTGAGTTTCAACTTCAGGATCTGGCCTTCTAAAGAGCAGTCAGGATTGATCTCTTCTAGGACTGACCGGTTTGAACGCCTTGCAATCCAAGGGACTCGCAGGAGTCTTCTCCAGCACCATAGTTCAAAGGCCTCAATTCTTTGGCGCTCAGCCTTTTTTATGGTCCAATTTTCACAGCCATACATTGCAACTGGGAAAACCATGGCCTGGACTATACGCACTTTTGTTGGCAGGGTGATGTCTCTGCTTTTTAGTATGCTGTCTAGATTTGCCATAGCTTTCCTCCCCAGGAGCAAGTGTCTTTTAATTTCTTGGCTGCAGTCCCCATCTGAGGTGATCTTGGAGCCCAGAAAAATAAAATCTGTCACTACCTCCATTTCTTCCCCATCTATTTGCCAGGAATTGAGAGGGCCGGATGCCATGATTTTGGTTTTCTTAATGTTGAGTTTCAAGCCAACTTTTGCACTCTCCTTCTTCACCTGCATCAAGAGGCTCTTTAGTTCCTCTTCACTTTCTGCCATTAGAGTGGTATCATCTGCATATCTTAGGTTGTTGATATTTCTCCCGGCAATCTTACTTCCAACTTTTGATTCATCTAGCCCTGCCTTTCTCATGATGTGCTCTGCATATAAAGTTAAATAGGCAGGGCGACAGTATACAGCCTTGCCGGACTCCTTTTCCAATTTTGAACCAATCAGTGGTTCTGTGTCCAGTTCTCATGTTGCTTCTTGACCCGCATATAGGTTTCTCAAGAGACAAATGAGATGGTCTGGTACTCCCATCTCTTTAAGAACTTGCCACAATTTGTTGTGATCCAAATTAACAATTAACAAATTAATAATATGTAAATCCAACAGAATCTTTATTTTAGGAAGCCTCAGGTAATAGATAAAAAAACCCACAAAGTATGGAAAAATTGTGTCATTTAATTGCAATAGCCTCCATGCTTGAGTTTTACACAAGCTGATTAACCTGAAGATTCATCAGGAAAAAGTGACAAAGCAACATTGTTGTACGTCAGTTAGTATAATTTAAAAATGGAAACCAACTCTTAGCTAATAATTAATAGCACTTAGCACTTAGACTAATATACTGCTCCATAGTGCTTTACAGCCTTCTCTGAGCAATTTACCGTGTCAGCATATTGCCCCCCCCCAAAAAATGGGTCCTCATTTTACTGCCCTTGGAAGGATGAAAGACTGAGTCAACCTTGTGCTGGTCAGAATCGAAATGCTTCCTACAATGAAGTTCATTCCATTAATTTTGGGCGGTTTGTCTTTTGCCCAAAGGTTTATAACTTTTTTAATAGCTTTGGAATATCTTTTTTTCAGAACATTGGTATAGATTTATTTTGGCAGAGCTAGTCATAGTGCTCTGACAGAGGTAAATAGGTACAGGCCAGGCAAAGATAGGTCAAGGAGTAATTTGGATACTTGGATACAAGATGCAGAATATGGAAATCATTTTATGGACACTGAGGAAAGTCTGTTGTGGGATGGTGGTTCCTGATAGGTAGGCAGAAAAAAGCAAAAGAACTTGGCAAATCTATCTCAGGGAACTTTCGGTTGAGACAATTATAAGACAATATTTTTAGATAAATGAGTGGGGTTTTATTTAGTGAAGTTTATTTCCAGAATGTTGCCTGAGCCTATATGATAAGCCCCCTTTGAAAACATTTTTCTTGAACTATTATGTAAAATTCTAAATAATATTTAATTTAACCACAATGGGACACAGAATAAAACTGGCAAGCAAAAGAATAGTGCAAGAAATGTATTACAATGGTAATACATTTATTACTATTAATAACTATTAATAACTATTAATAGTAGTTAATAAAAGTAGTTATTAATAACTACTATTAATAACTATAACTATTAATGGCTTCACTAATAGTTCAATAGTTCAATACCTCAAAACATTTTATTTAACAATAAATACAGAAATAGTTTTTCATTACTATCTTTAATACACTTTTCATTTCTTTGTTTACTTTCCAGTCTAGATTACAACCATGTTATTTCTTGCTTGATCCAGGGCTAGAAACTAGAAGACCCTGAATTTTAGTCTTTCCTTGCTCAGCTAGGCAACCTTGAACCAAGTCATTCTCTCACAACTTTAGGAATGGAAACCATTTGCAAAAAATCTTATAAAAAAAACAACAGGGATTGAGATTCAGTCAATCACTAGGAGTCAACAATGACAGCAAAAGCAAAATAAAACAAATAAAACAAAATATTCTTGGTTCTCTCTAATTCAAATGCTAAGTCTGCCATATTTGGTTTTCTAAGATCAGTTCCAGTTGATCATGTGCCTATTAAATAGTTATCCTTCCCCCTCTTTTATAAAATCTCAAGTGTAGTTCTTTGTCCAGTCAATGGAAAAAAAGCAGATGGGAGAGAGATGGGATGCTTTTATCTAAAGTAAGGTAAGGACTCATAAACAATTCAGAATGCAAACCAATAATGATGCTGAACTAAAGGATGCTCTTCCTCATTTATTCTGCATCAATGTTAAAATAATTTAAATAATGCCCATTTGGCTCAGTTTTACCTGAGTGGAGAGGATATGCCTTTTATATGACTGTTGTAAAATTCTTGGAATGTTACCCTTAGGGAGGACACATCAAGAATCTTAAGAGATATCTAAGAGTAGAATTCGACCACAGGAGCCTTCTTTGTTATAATATAGGTCCCTTGACGTACACCCTTTCATTTAATAAACTGGCTCTGCTTCCACTTTTGCCTTAGTTATGCAGAGCACCAGGATATTGTGAGAGGTTATTCATCTGCAGTGAATTCTTCCTCTCTTCTCTCCCTATGACTTTGAAGTAACTTTTAAAACAGATTAAATTAAAATGCAGGAAAAGTAGACTTTAACCACTATCTAGATAGATTTGCAATAGTCCCAAGTCATGCTTCGTGCTAAGGCCAGGGTTTTTAAACACCATTTATTGAGTAGATATTATGATTTTATTTCTTATTACTTCCACTGGAGTCAGGCAGCTAATTAAAGCAAACAAACAAACATAAATAAATAAATACTTATGTGTGGCATCAGTGCCAAAGACAAAAGAGAATACATTTCTACCAAGTGCAAATTTATTTTTTTGAGTTAATGTCTTGTTGTCTGCAAAAACTTTGCAGTCATGTGAAATTGTGGTGGCCACAAGGTGTCGTTATTGTCTTCCACAAGATGGTAACTTTGCTATTGCCCTGAAAGGAGTCTTCCTTTGTGTTATATTTCTTTGTCAATTTTTATGGATTGTAAATGCTTAAACCTATGTATCTTCCAATGAGATTTACTTCCAGATAAGTGGCCATTGAATTGCACGCTAAATGATTGAAACCAGAAACTTACATTTTACATAAAATATCTAAGTATAATCAGTGAAGCCTGTGAAGAATGCTAGATATCTGATTCATTTAATAGCAAAGGAATTTTAACATTTATATATAAAACTAAACCTGACAAAAAAATTTAAAAAAAAATAAAGCTGGGAAGATAATTTTGGATTTGATAAATGCCATTGGAACTTTTTGTGCCTTTACATTTTTGTGTGTGTGTGTGTGTATCATGCAAAAGGAAAACAATTCATAGGTCTGATAATCTCTTTAGACTGTTTTCGTATAGCAATAATACACAAAGGGAGAATGATGTGTGACATGATATGTGACATGAAAGGAGGCTATCACTCAGTACTTGGGTCACATCTTCTGATGCAAGTATCATCAATCAATCGATCAATCAGAATAGAGCTAGAAGGGACCTTGGAGGTCTTCTAGTCCAAACTCCTGCTTAAACAGGAGACCCTACACCATTTCAAATAAATCATTGTCCAGTCTTTTCTTAAAAACCTCCAGTGATGAAGCACGCCAACTTCTGAAGGCAAGTTGCTCCATTAGTTAATTGTATATAGTATATAGTACAATGAACAATATAACAAATATATAAACTGTGCCATGGTTGCCATCTCCAAACACTTGGTGTATTTGTATAATTGGCACCTTGGTATGAAAATTGGCACCTATTATATCAGTAGTATCAGTCCTCAATTACTCAGTCCTCTTGGCTGGAGATATGGAGAATTTACCAACTAGTATTCCATAAAAGTTCCTTTTATTGGTTTATTGTTTGTATTCTCCTGGTATATACATTAATATAATGTAAGAAATCAGTTCAGTTCCTGTTGTTATTGCAGAAATATGGAAAACTAAAAAACCGTATAAAGACCTAAAGTATATTTTTATAGGTTTTATAGTTTTTAAAAAATATGAGAAAATTTCTGAAAAAGTGACACAACAGCAACCACCTTTGAGAAATTCTACAGTAAAAAATATATGTATTCAAATAAATCATCTATGTTAACGACATATTCCCTAATCAATACTTTCATCTGTATAAATGTCATTCTAAACAGCTATGTTGAATAATAGAGACAATACTTGTGTCTCTCCTTGTATACTTCTTTTTTTTTTTTATTGAAAATTTCTGAAATTTTACAAGACAAATCCCCTCCCCAACCCCCCCCAGCCTCCCGTACCCTCCCCCAATTCCCCAAACCTCCCTAACCCTCCCCTGGACCTCCCAGAGTTGATTACAGGCTTATCCAAAATATTTCGAAGAAAAAAAAGAAAAAAAGAAAAAACTTAAAACACATATAAAACTTAAAACACATATAAATCCTAAACAAGTCTAGATATTTTAAATTAAATAGATTATCTCTAGAAAGTAATAATCATTAAGCAATTATAATATACTCTAAACATCTTCTAATCATACTTATAATATTATCCATCATTCTATATAAGTTCCTCCCAGAACACAATTTTAAACACTACTTTCTTTGAACATCTATAACTATAATATAAAATCTAATTTAAATCATAAACAAATCTAAATACGTTTAATTAAACGAGTTATACTCCCCCCAAAACACAGATTTAAACATTACTTAAAACTTAAAACCTTAGAGTCCCCTTATACACATTTAATCAAGTTCCATCTTAAAAATAATAATAATAATAATTAGAAAAAAAATAAACCCAAACACTAAACACATTATAGTATACTCCAAACCTTCTAATATCATGCTAATATTATCATTTTTATAAACTCCCCCAAAACACAAATTTAAACATTACTTAAAACTTAAGAAATCCCTTATACACATTTAAATCTTTATCAATAACAAATTCCATCCACAATAAACACATTAAAAATTTAAATCTTCACCAATAACAAATTCCATCAATCTCGATTGTCCATTTTCATTCTCCATCCTTATCATTCTCTAATTTTTATCAAACTCAAGAGAAATTCTTTGAGATCTGCCTTTAAGGATTCCTTCAAAATTTCTGAATCTCCCAGCAACTCAGAAGCCAATACATGTGGGGATTCCTTAAACTCCTTATTCTGTTGGTCTTTTTCTTTATAATTATGTGTTGCACGAATTGTCTTCTGCCCCTTCCTCTCAACTTGTTGAGACTCCTCAAGCTGAGATTTCCCCTTTTTCATTTCAGACAACAATTCCATCCTTGAAGATTGCTCCAGAGGCTTTATAAGTCTTGCTTCTCCCACAGATTCAGAAACCACTAGATGTGAAGCTTCCTTGATCTTCTTCTGTTGTTGCTTTTCTTTACAGTTATATGCTACACAAGTTATCTTCTGCTCCTCAATCTGAACATGTTGAGACCTCTCAGGCAGTGGTTCCCCAATTTTAAAGTCTTCAAACTGTACTTCTGCATTCTTTTCTTTCAAGGTTTTAAACTTAATAGGTGACGATGAACATACCCCCAGGACCGAAGTATAAAAATCTTTTGCTTGAGAAGCAGTATTAAGTCTATAAGATATCCCCAGGTAGTTCACCACCATTCCAATCGGAACATCCCATCTGAACGAAATTCGTCTCTTTTTAAGTTCATTTGCTAAAAAAGCAAACTCCTTTCTTCTTCTTAAAATTTTAGATGGGATCTCCTTTAAAATTATAACATCTTGTGAAGCGATTTGAAATCTCTTTTTATAAAAAGCTTGTATAATTTCATTGCGTAGAGATCTTTTCCCAAAGTAGATTACCACATCTCTTGGCAAATTCTTTTGCACTGCCACCACAGAGTTAACTCGAAATAATTTTTCAATTTCACTAAGTATTTCTTTTTTTTCTTTATTCAAAATCACAGCAAAGTCCTTTGCAACCATCTCTTTCAGATCTCCTTGCAAGGACTCTCCCAAGCCTCTAATTCTTAAGGCATATTCCATTTGTCCATATTGAAGCATAAGAATCTCATTTTCCATTTCTTTTTCCATACTTTCAATTTTTCCCTCCATTAATTCCACTTTTTCAGCTACTTCTTCCACACGGGAGTTCAACTTTTCAATAACAGAAGCAACTCCTTTTAAAGCCAAAACTATGTCTTGCCTCAAAATCTTGTTATTTTCCTCTAAAATCTTTTTCATTTCTGCCCTAATTTGAATTGTGAGATTTCCCATCATATCTTGCAAATCCTTCATGATTGTTGGTTGAATCACAGAAGAGGGTGAAACTATTGATTTAGGAACTGTAAGAGTCCCTAGACGCTTTGGAGCCATCTTAAAAAAAAAAAAAAAACTTTACTCCTTCTTGAGAATTACAAAAATTTAAAATAATAAAAAAGGGGAGTTAAAAAAGAAGAAAAAAGAAAAAAGAAATTGAAGTATCCGTTCCAATCATTAAAAAGGGGGAAGAAAAAACACCAAAAATCCTGCCTTTTAAAAGTACAAAAGACAAAGCCAAAAAGTCAAACAAAAACAATAATGTTTAAAAAATTAAACAACAAAAATAATAATGCTTCTAAAATCCATCCAATCATTAAAAAGAAAAAAAAGAGAAAGTAAGAGAAGCCGATCGCCATTCTAACTTCCCAAAAAAAAAAACGCTAGAAAGTCTGCCAATCGCCATTTTACTTTCCCTTTCAGCACAAAGTAAAAAGTAAAAGGAGAGAATATAAACATGAAAATAAACCTTTAAGCTTAAAATACATATAAAATCAAAGAAAGCAAAAAGTAAATCCTCTAATCAACTCTGTCCGCTTCTAAAAAAAACTCACCAGGTCCCTTTAAGCGCGGAGGTGGTTGCAACGGCTTGTTTTGTCCCTAGGGACAAAAGCAGCTGGGAAGCGGAGACAGTCTGAACTCTGTGGGAGCACTCTGTCACCCCCCAAAAAAAGAAATTGGGGGTACATAAGAGGCTCTACCACTATTCAGACAACCCTCTTTCCCCCCCCCCTTTGCCCGGGAGGGGGATTTTGAACCGCAGAACAGATGATGTACGCTGTTCATAGCGATTCATTACACTTACCCAGGAGGACGGCTACAAAGTAGCCGCCATCGCCGCGCAACCGTGTATACTTCTAATATATTTTTCCTTTGGTTGCATTTGTTAAAACTTCATAGCAAGCATCACGATAAGAGAAGGTTTTGAATGACTTTAGTGTAGGTGTGTGTGTGTGTTTACTGTTAAGTGATGCCTCCTTGCCCTAGGAAGAAAAAAAAATGGACCTTGAACTGCAGAACAAGACATAGCTGAGATGTTTTCAAGGGCCTTTTTAAAAACATAACTCGGGATGTCAATCAAATAGCTTGCTTTCTATACATTTTCTACATTCAGTGTACCCATTTATCCTTCCATTATATTTTTTCAGCAATGACCCTCTGGGGTTGGTTTTATTAAGCATCATTAAATGCTTACTGCAAAATCATTGCTTAGTTTTGGGAATGAGTGGGGGTTTGTGCTTGAATTCTTCTAATCTAATATTAGATTGCAGGATCTGGATTTTTCTTTTTGCATTTTACAGCAGGAAAAAGGTAAGTGGTGAGGATGGAGGTTAGGGCCCCAAGTTTGTGGGTTGATTTCTGAATGTTTCATTACTAGGCTAGGTAATATCTTCAGGGGAGTTTAGGGCAGGGGTCCCCAATCCCCGGTCCGTGGACCAGTATCGGTCCACAGAATGCCAGCAAGCGGACCGCAAAAACAAGCAAAGCTCCATCCTCAGGATGCAGGCAGTATTCAAAACCTCACCTTCAAAACCTTTCTCCATGGCACCGATCCATGGTGCCCAAAAGGTTGGAGACCTCTGGTTTAGGGGATGTCAGTATTGAAACATTCAGAAACCAACCCACAAGCTCGGAGAACGAACCTCCACCATCCTACACCCGAGCTACAGATATTCAACATCATCCTAAAGATAAGTGGGTTCTGGGAACATAAACAATATTCAGGACTGGCTGGTCATTCTCTGCCTTTTCTTCCCCAACACAGGAGAAAGAACCCTGTATTCTTCAGTGAAGAAGAAATTTCTGCCTTCCTCCAGGCTCCATGTAATGACAATGAGGTATATTACAGTAATCTTCTTAATGAATGGGCACAGACAGACATCACCTCTGTATATAGACTTGGTATGTTTCCATATCTCTGGATATTGTCTCTTTCTAATGTCTTATTTCTTGTTCCCAGATTTTCTGCTGCTTCCTATCTTTATACTATTCATCTTCTGATAGAATATTTTCTTTGAAAAATACTCAAGAAATAGTTTGATGTCATGTTGATCTCTATAAGCTTTAGTTCTTAGTAGACATAATAACAGGAGGATGAGATGTAATATAACCAAGACACTAAATCAGGGGTCTTCAAATTTGGCAACTTTAAGACTTGTGGACTTCAACTCCCAGAATTCCTCAGCCAGCCTTACCCAATTCATGTTTATTTATCACCTGTTAATTTGTATTAACAGTTACATAGGAATAGTATATTTTTTTTCCACTTCACTTTATTATGCTTTCCAGATACTGCCTTTTTAAACATTCAAATAGAAAGTTTGCAGCAACTTTGCAGTGAACAAATCTACTGGCACCATTTTTCCAACGTTTGCTCACTTCATGTCTTTGTGTCCTATTTTAGTAATTGTCATAATATTTCAAACTTTTTCAACATTATTAATCATTTTGGCCATAAAAAAGATTTTAATTAAGGCATGTACTATTTTTAGACCTAATGCTATTGCACACTAAATAGACTATATAGAGTGTAAAACATAACTTTTATATGCAATGGGAAAGCAAAACAATTGTGTGATTCGTTTTATTGCAATATGTGTTTTACTGTGATAGTCTGGAACTGAATTTGCAATATCTCCAAAGTGTGCCTGTACTCTGCCACATCAAAAGGCAATTGAACAATAGGAATGAACAAAATTTTTCTATTATTTCTAATGACATTTTCAATGTAGAAAATGAATAAGTTGACCTAATTCAGAATTTACAGTATTCTCTTTCTTCATTGTAGTACAGTCATCTACTGTAGCTTTATATCCCCTACACTCATCTTATTCTTTCCTTGTTTCTTCCTTCCCAAGCTAAGATTGGACTTCATTTTTTCTTGTGTATGCTTTGAATGAAGCAACTTAAGTTTTTTGTTATAATGCCAAGTTTGAAGTTTGACTTTTGATCTTGCATATTTCTTTCCTTTTTCTTGATTACACAGATGGCTTTGAACCTATTGCAATGTACCCACAAAGACCATCAGGTGAGTATGGTTGAAAGGGAAAATGGAATGTTTTTTCCCCCTGAAATGTATTACCATAAAAGGAATCATATTGTTATGCTTCCTTAATCATTTTCAGATGCTGCTGTACATGGACATAAGAATGGTTGGATATTTGAAAATTGGGGGAAGCAATCTTATAACAGTTTATTTACTCATACTGATTCTGAGAAGTCAACTCCAGTGGTTGAATCTTCACCTTTCACCCTTGAACATTTACTTCTGCCAGAGCCAGATGACCTTGATGACCCCAAGTTCTTTATTGATCTAAATGCTGGGCATATGGAAGACTGTGATGTGTTTGATCCTATACTGACTTTCCTCAATCAAGATAGCTATGTGCCTCATTTCCAAAGTCTCTATGACCTCTCCTTTTCCTTCCTCAGTTCTACCTTATATGGTTTCACCACTGAAGAGGAGTTAGTCATATATCTGGAGACATCCAGGAACTGGGCTAAGAGGGGCCACCTTGCTTGGGCTCATATTCGGATATGTTATCTTTTGGGCCGCCTCTGTGTCAGGAAGGCCAAGTTCTCCCAAGCACGAGTCTACTTTGAGGAAGCCATGAATATTATGGACAAGGGGTTTGAAGATCTACCTCTACTTACCTCATTACATGCAAATCTTGCTGCCATTTATCTAAAACAAAAGATGAAGCAAAAGTTCTTATCCATGATTGGGAAAGGGATGACACTCCTGGCCTGCATGTCTGGACACTGCTTCAGTTCTGAGACTGAACTAGAAGTTATGATGTATATCCTGAGAGAAGCCATTGCTGTAGGCAACACAACAATGGAGATTCGGTCCTGCTTCCTCATTGTCAGACTCTTCTTGCACCTGGGCAAATATGATGAGGTCCTTCCTTTTGCAGAACGTTTGCAGTTTCTGAATGCACAGCTTACCAGCCAGGCTACCAATGCATTTCCTTTAGATACAATGCCTTTTCTTGCCTATCTGTATGGAAAAAAGTATGTGCCCCATGTAGCTTTAGCAGCTGCCAGGATGGTCTCCCCCAGCAATATAAAAGGTGGCTTCACACCCATTTGGAGAGCTGGATTCATCCTTGCAAACACTTCTAAACTCTTGAAAGTCCAAGAGAAAAGCAACAACAGCATCTCAGCATTGGCTTGCTTCTATCTGCATTGTGGGTTGTCCTTCTCCCACGAAGCTGGGACTGTATCTACTGAAAAAGCCTTGTGTGCACTTTTATCCAAACTGTACCTCAAATATGGCATGCTAGAAAAGGCTGTGCATTACTCCAACCAAGCCGTTGCCCTTGGTAAAGTGATGGGTGAAGAAGAAGCATTTGAAGCATCCCTTTCTTTGGGGTGGTTGTTTATTTTGAACAGCCTACCAGAAAAGACCTCAGAGATCATGCAATACCTCCTGTGTTCTCTGCGGCAGACAGACAGTGTCACACAAGATGGGGTCGTTCACAATCTTTTAGCCATTGCCCTTACAAGAGAAGGGCAGGTGCAAAAGGCAGCAGAGAACTACTTATGGGCCTTGAAGAAAGCCCAGGAAAATGGAAATCAGCGTAACCAAGCCATTGCCTTAGCCAACTTTGGTTGCCTGGTCACATCTTTGGGGGCTTACTATTTAGGCGAATACTATTTTCTCCAGGCCATTCAGCTGTATTTTGAACTCCAGGATGGTGATGATACACAGATGGAACTGGTGCACATTTTGTTATGGGTGGCTCAGTCCAAGCTAGTGAGGTATAAGGCAGAAGAAGGCATTGTCTTTTATGAGCTGGCCTTGGCCATTGCCTTGAAGACTCAAAATGTGATAAGTGAGTACTTATTCTTAGGGGAAATTGTCAAGTCAAGTGTGTTATTTATTCGGCATTTTTTTTTTAAAAAAAAATCTCTATCCTACCTGATGCCGTGTAGGTCAACTTCATGTCACTGAGTCCCTCTGCCATTTCTATAGTAAAGTGCATCCTGATATCAGAGCCTCCATTCTATACCACGAGCACCACGTTCTCCTAGCTCGGCATCTCCAGGACAGAGAAAAAGAAGGTCACCTTCTACAGGTCCTCAGCCAGCTCTACCAAAGTTTACAAACACCCAGGTGAGTCAGCATTCATGTTCCTTGTTAAATGTTGAAATAATGACTGGGACTAAAAGTGTTACAATATTTTGAACAGTATTTTGGTTTTATTGGATTTTGTTATTAAAGCAATTTCCTTTTATCATTGGTGCTCTCTGAGCTTGCTTGTTTTCTTGCAGACCTTTCATTACCCTAACTAGGTAACATCATGTTACCTGATGTTATGTTATGATGATGTTACCTAGTTAGGGTAATGAAAGGTCTGCAAGAAAACAAGCAAGCTCAGAGAGCACCAAGGACCCCTCATTTCAACCCCTGAGCTACAAATATTCTCCTTCCTTTTATCATTCTCAAGTGAAAAACAATAACATTTAAAGCATGAAATTCTAATCTAGAATATTGTTGTCTTTAAGCCCAAATGGCATGAGTTCTACTGTTCATAATCCATTGAACACTAGATCATAAAGCAACAAATTCAGTCTTTTCAAAAAGGTTCATTAGTTTTTAATGTATTCCCTGCCATTGATTTTAATGTCAGATGCTTTGAACATTTTGGAAAGAAGGGGAAAAAATCATACTCATTTGATATTATTAGTTTATTGTATATGTATTATGTAGGAATAATGAAACATTCTCTTGTGTTCAGTTGTCTTGGTTTGTGGGAAAATCAGCATGGATTAATATCTGTGACACTTTAAAGCAAAGCATGTTTTCTCTTGGTAAGCCAGAAGTCACTTCATCAGTCATATAATATGTTCACCTGTCAGATAAATACAGATGAGAATGATATCTGGAATATAAGGAAAGAGGCAAAAAGAAAATAAGTACACAGACTTCCTTGCTTTAAAAAAAAAAAAGGGGGGGGGGGTTTAGAAACAATTCTGCACCCAGATGCAGAATATCAATGTATTTACTGTGAATTCAGCTCAGAGCTCATTTGTTAACAAGTGTAATCATATTAATATGCCATGTTGCAAATGGCTGAACGAAAAGCACTGGACCTACATACAATAACCAGGATACAAAGAAGAGTGTGTGGATGCACAGGAGAGAAATGTATATGTCACCAGATATTTCAAGCTAGGTTTTCCATAGTGGTTCACTTGCTTCAAGTTGCCACCTTTTCCTTTGTTTTTTCTTTTAATAAAGAATTTGTTTGAAACATTTAGAAAATAGAATAAGTAGCTACATAAGAAAAAAATAGGGGGAATAAATATCAGCAAAGAAAGATTGATAATTATAAAATTTAAGATTCATTAACTCAATATTTCATTAATTTGTTAATTAAATCTATAGACCTAACTTCCATATATTATCTTAAGAAAAAAGTTAAAATCTGTATAACATTCTAAAGATTAATATTGATAACTTTGCTATTTGTCATTGTTCTAAAAATAAATGCACATAATTATATAAAAGAAAGAAAAGAGCAAAGGGAAAAAGAGAAAAGAATAAAAAATACAAAAAGGAAAAGAATTCAATAAAAACAATATTAAGTTCTAATCTCCTCCCATTGTTTCTTACTGGCAATCAATGTACTTTATCAGCCCTCCAAGGCAGACCAGTCTTGGAAACCTTATATATACTAATACTGCTTTTATTACAAATTTACAGTAACAGAATATTGCAAGTCTGAATGTACTTCCCCCCTCTTTTAGTTATCTTCCTGAGCAGGGGTCCCCAACCCCCGCTCCATGGACCGGCACCGGGCTGCAGCATGCCAGAAACCGGTCCATGCAAACAAGCAAAGCCCCATCTGTGGGATGCAGGCAGTACATGAAACCACACCCCCTCCGGTCTTCAGAAAAACCTCTCTCCACAGAACCGGTCCCTGGTGCTCAAAATGTTGGGGACCTCTGTTCCTGAGAACTAGGGAGAGTTTTATCTGAAATGCTTACTCAGATTACAGATCTGTCCAGACCCAGATCTCTTTTATCTGACCACTGTCTTCATAGCAGTTCTTCCTTCTCTTTCTCAAGGTTATGCCTTTTCCAAATTACCTACTTATAAATATCAAAGTTGTTTCTAATTACCTGTTTCAAAGGCATATTTCCCCATTTTCCCCAAAGCAGTAGTCTTCTTCCCAACTAGGCAATGTTGACATAACTACAAAAGGGGAGAGGGACGTTAGAAATCTTACTTTTGCAGGAAGTCAGAGGCAAGGTTTTAAGCATATGCTATTCTGGATGGCTTGGAGAGAGAAAAGAAGGTGAGTAATTTTAATGAATTCACTAGAATAAAAGATTACACATTGCTAGCGTAGCCATTGTTGACTTTGGATGCAAACAGCACATTGGTTTCAGAGATGGAGGTACCCCATGGATCTAAAGATATGCCTACCCTAGTGTTTCTTAATCTTGTACCTTTAAGATGTGTGTAATTCAACTCCCAGAATTCTCCAGCTGGCTGAGGAATTCTAAAAGAGTTGAAGTCCACATATGGTAAAGTTGCCAAGGCTGAGAAATGCTGGCCTACCCTCTTGATCTCTGAAGATTGTCACTGGTTCACTTGAAAGGCTGCCTGGCATTTGCTCTGTAATCTAAAGCTTAACCTTTGAGGAAAGGTTAGCAGAAGGAGTAGCACTGCCTATATCCTTCAGCCAAGGCAACAGCGAGAATTCTCTAGCTTTAAAGACTCATGGGTCACATAAAGAAGCACAAGGAGGTCAGTGGCATATGACCATGCCCCTTGAATGAATGCATGCACTGTTCTGAATACATGCCACACAAGAGTTGGTATGAATGGAAGATAATAAAAATGATGGTGCTTGAATTTTTTTGAGGAAGAGGGAAATGAATATGGCAAACAAACTAAAGCAGGGGTCTTCAAACTTGGCCCTTTTATGACTGGACTTCAACTCCCAGAATTCCTCAGCTAGGTGTGCCTAGCTGAGGAATTCTGGGAGTTGAAGACCACAAATCATAAAAGGGCCAAGTTTGAAGACCCCTGAAATAAAGAGTGTGGATTGTTTTCTGCTTGCTTCTTACCTTCTTTCAAGATGTTATGCCTGAAGGAAGCTGTTTGCCTTGTTATATCTGCTAGGGTTTCTCATGCTATCCAAAATCTTGGAAACTATCTCTTTGTAACATGATTTTTAAGCTGTATAATTAAAATAAAAGGAAGTAACCTTCTTCCCTATTGTTTTTTTTAAATCTCTTGAATGTGTCTTCCATTAAGAGTGATATCTTTAGAACATGAACTTATTTAAGGACGAATGTAAAGGTTCATCTGCTTAAAATAATTTCTCCATTGGATTTAAGACCAAAGGAAAGAATTCAGCCTGTGTGAAGGTCAGAATGCAGTTTCTTGTAAGCGATGTTTTCTAGAGTGGCTCAAAATGAGGTGGTTTCTTTTAACTATTCATGAGTTTCACTAATAATGAAATACATGTAAATCCAACAGATCTTTGAAACAGGCATTGGATTCTACCAAGCAGAGCCTAAGAATATTTATTGATCTGGAGGAAATTATTAAAACAGCCCAGGCCTGGTTACAGGCTGGTAAGCTCTATTATCAAATGCAAGAGAATGAACTTGTGGAAATGTATTTACAGGTACATAAAAAAGTTGTTTTCTAAGTTGGTATTTTTCTGTTCTTTTTTTACTAGTTGTAACTTTTTACCCAACTACTTTGTAAAAGATTATTGCAAAAGTGTGATTTCAATCATTGGATAACCTAGATCATTCTTTATAAAATGCGAGTTTTCATCTGTGTCTGGCACATGAGGATGCTGAGTCAGTGTCTAACAATATAAGGCATCACCAACCATGGCAGTAAATATCCCTCTAGCTATTACATATAGACTGGATCTTGGCTGAATCATAGATCTTCTGCATTGCCCATATGCATGTTTTGTGCTCTAAGCTTTAAACGAAAGATTGCAGTTACATATTGCACACTTATCTTAATATTAGGTCATATTAAATATTAATATTTAATATTGGGTTATATAATATTTCACACTGAAAACCTATGACTTTCATTTGTGGGTGCAGAATTTAGATTCATAAGCAACATTTGGATTTGTAGTGTGATTTCAGAGATTTGGTACTGAAACGTAAGGGGGGGGGTGAGTAGAAAAGCATTAGAGTGATGAACATCAAATTACAAAAAAGGAGAACTGAATGCTATGAAGTAAAATAAGAGGGTACATATCACCAAGCAATGGAAATCTCTCTGCATGGAGAGATGTTTAAATTTTTTGTACCTACTTTCCACTTTTTCCTTCAGAATTATAAAATCTCTGCAATGGAAATAAAAAAGAAAATGTCATGAAGGGTTCTGTATTTTGTTATGTATAAGAGTCTTAAAATGGATGCAGCTAAGTTGTAGTGTCCTGAGTTGTTTTGAGCAAACATTCAGCCTTTTTCCATGATCCTATTGCCTTAGCTGTTAACCTCACTGGATCCCCTTTCCAGGCATCCATAGAGACAGCACTGAAACCCAAAGAGCTGCACCTGGCCATGGAATTATACGAAGAGGCAGGAGATGTCTTCTTCAATGGAATCAAGAACAGGCACAAGGCAGTGGAATATTACAGGGTACTAACTACAAGATATATTTGTATCAACATCTCGAAAGGTTGCCAGTACTGGGTGGTTCCAACATTGATGGAAAGAAACTGTGCAGAAGTAGAAAGTGGAAAATGAGATGAACATCAGACAGAAATCATTGGGGGAAGGGGGGAACCACCAACCTACTCCAGTGATTCCTTCTGTGCCTCTACATGCTAACATTGCTGGCTGAAAATAAGCATACTGGAATCTGGGGGTATACTTAGGCATGGCAATGAAGGTCAGAGGACCATTGACTGTGTTGTGGCTGTTAATTGTTAAAGTAAGATCATGGTGAGGAATTTTCTTGTTGTTGCTCTTTGCATATTATCCTTTTATTTAATTCATGCCCTCCTGATACAACATATGATTTGACTGCAAAAGGTCATTAGTTCAATCCCTGATACCTTCAGAGTATATAATAATGGGAAAGCATTGTTTTAGAAATCTGGATTGCTGCTGCTGCTGCTGATTGCTAGGGTAAAAATGCAGTCCAGTGCAACTGTGGCATTTGACAGCTTGATGGTGATCTTTACAAGATCCCTTCCATCTGTACTGAAGGATGCACTCTAAGAACTTTACTTAAATATCTTTGAGTACAAAGTAAGCAGGAGTTCTCTTTCTTTTTCTTGTGTGCTCTTTCCCTCTTTTTAGTAACAAAGCCCTACCATCTCTTTTTAAGTGTTCAAAGTGTTAATGAAGTGGTGCTTTAAAAAAAGAAAAAAGAAACAGAGAAAATGTATAGCCCTTTCATCTTTAAAAATAAGAAATGAACTTTTTTTTTTAGAAAAAAAAAATTGTCTACTTTCTAAAAGTCTATAATGATCTGATTGATCCAACAGGTAGCCTTTTCTTTCATATTAAACAATGTGTGCAAACTGTGTTAAATTTATAGTGACAGACGGCTTTAGTTTTGCTGAATTAATAGACTTAAACCTGTTTCTAGGCAAAAGCCAAATGGGCAGCCATCCAGTTGCACAAAACAAGGAAACAAAAAGCAAAATGATCTCAGGTTCATCTAAAGTTCAAGAGAAGGTTAAGTGAGAGCCAAACAAAAGTTATGTTGTGTTTCAGGTTACCTATAAATCTGAAAACTGTGAGATAACGTTCCTTTCAGTTATCAGAAAATGATGCTTTGGCAAAAAAATGATTATCAAAGAGACTATATGCATGGTCAGGTCTTCTTTGCTTTGTGTGAGCTCTCTTGGGACTCTTGGTTGGGCTGCAGGGGGAGGATGGAGAGTAGAAAGTTATGAAACCACCATGACAAATTGTTTGGTGTTTTTGCCAGGGAGGAGCTATACCTTTGGCCAGGAAACTGAGAGACACAATAACGGAGTTGAGAGTGTTCAACAAGCTAGCTGAACTCCAAATTGGGCTCCACAATTATGAAAACGCTTTGGAATTTGCTACCTTGGCAGTCAGACTCAGCGTGGATGTAGGTAGGAAGGAATCAAGGTTTATAACACAAGAATACCTAAGTCATATTCTGAAAATTGTCAATAATTTGTGAGTACAGAAAATAACCACCATACATCTCTTAGAAGGTGATGTCACCCAAGTCAATTTAAAATATTCAAGTTGGCCTCAGTAAATGTTTTAAAAAGTACAAAGGTAAGTGGGCATTTATTATACTTCATTCAAAATCAAAGAAGTAGTTCTTCGCAGATTTTATGAATTCACAACCACTGGGAAAGAATTGCCAGATAAATTTATCCTTCCTCAGATAAAGGCTGATGATGTCCCAGTCAGAGATGCCTCAGTCGGTGTTGTACAAACATTGCTTGATTTTTGGACACAATATTTTGTTGACAATGATTGCAACCAATAGCCTAGAAATTCTTAACTGAAAGCAAATGGAATGTGTTTCTATCAAATGGATTATTTCACGTATCCTTATCATTTCCACAGTATTCATTTTGTTGTGTAATTGCTCACCTTGGAACAACAAGGCACGAGCTTTTGAAGACAGCATGTCTAATTTCATCGCAGTGAAATTTAATAGTCTACATTATCGTGTTTCAAGCAAGGAATCTGCCCTTCAATTTTTTTTCATTTCCGCTGAGAATGATTGTGTCTATGGAAACATTGTATACATATTTTTCAAGATTGCAGTAATGGAGTGTTTAATGCCTACCACATGAAATTGGCATGTCTTCCCTATCATATTGAATTGCCATTGATTTTATGACATTAGGAACATGCATAAATAAAACAATTGTTTGCATTTATTATTATGGTTGCTACTGTGGGATTGGCACTGCACATTAACTTCTGGGGGAACAAAAAGGTGGTGGCTAGGGAACACGGTGCAGTCTTCCCAAATCCTAGGAACTGGGCAGCAAGCAGTTCAAATGGTGCTGCTCGGGGATTGAAGTACATGGTCTTTTGGGGGTCTAGGAGGAAGGGGAGAGTTGCAAATGCTGCAGCCTTTACAATTGCCAAATAGTCATTTATGCCATTTTGACACTGTTCTCATTCCAGGAGATCATTTGCAAGAATTGGTTGCCTTTCATCGGCTGGCAACTGTATATTACCTTCTGCAAATGTATGAGATGGCTGAAGACTGCTACTTGAGGACGCTCTCTTTGCATTCACCAGAACTGCAAGGGGCTCAAGAAGCCATATATTACTCTAAGGTTTACTACCGACTGGGAGATCTCACTCTCCACAAATTAAAGGTGAAATATAACATCTGTGATGTCTGACCTGTTGCATTTTAGTAAAGATGCTCTGGTTTGATTTACTTTGCACTTAACAATGAAAATATTTAGAATCTTGTGAAAATATTGAATGAGTGTATTTTTATTTTTTATTTTTTTGCTTCAGTGTCAGCAACTATTCCATTTTCTGGACCTTCAATTCACTTTGTTCAGTTAATACTTTTTCAGTTTACAAAAGGGATATACCGTATATTCCGGCGTATAGGGCGACCCGGCGTATAAGACGACCCCCGAGTTCGACGCCGGGTCGCAAGACGATCACGCCAAGTCGCAAGATGATCGATGCCGAGTCGCATATAAGACGACTTTCTAGGCATGCGACTTGGCATCGATTGTCTTATACGCCGGAAACTACGTTATTTCCGGCGTATAAGACGACTTTCTAGGCATGCGACTCGGCGTCGATCATCTTATACGCCGGAAATAACGTCATTTCCGGCGTATAAGATGATCGACACCGAGTCGCATGCCTAGAACGTCATCTTATACGCCGGAAATAATAAATAAATAAATAAACGTTATGACTCGGCGTATAAGACGACCCCAGAGTTCGGAGGCTGTTTCATCGCTCTCAAAAGTCGTCTTATACGCCGGAATATAAGGTACTATTTGTTTCAGGATAATGTCCAGACTTTGACAAATCAATCAAAGGAATATACTTCAAAGCGAGGATAAAAGCTAAATTTTACTTTATTCCATTTCAGTTAAGTTGAACTACTGTGATCCTTTCTCATACATTCAATAATTCCTCATCTTCTTTCAAATTAAAATAGCCATTTCGTTGCACTTTAGAGTACAGCAACCAGAGCCAGAATGTAAATATCTCCAAGGAATTACTAAATGCCAATAAAAGCCTAGAACTCTCTGAATCTTTTTTCTGCCATGTTTAGTTACCTAAGGTTTTTCAGTCCAGATCTGACATGCTCTAATTTGGAAGGGCTCTGGAAGCTTCACACACTGCTTGGAAGGACTACATGTGGCTTGGGTTGCAGGCTGTCAGCTGTGATTTATGATATGCCATCCTGATGTCCTCTACCTTTGATGCTCTCCTTATTTTGTTCTGCAGTTGCCACTCCCTTTTCTAAATATCCTTGCTTTGGATATGATTTTCAGTAGCCCCACCATGTCCCTTCAGTAGCTCCTCACATGTCCCTTCATACATATTGTATTATTTCATACATATTAATTGTTCTTAGTCTGTATGAAATTAATTAATTGCTATTTCAGGCAATCAAATCTGCATTCATTTGCTCTGCATAAGTGGTGAACTGGGATGGCTGCACATTTTGCCTCATTATAATCCAAACTGAGGGGAAAATTGCTTGAAGGACAGGGTCATGCTAGTAAAAGCCATTTAAGGTTCCAAGTGTTGATACATTTTTTTTTCTTTCTTAACCTATTTTTCTTTTGATCCCTACCATGTTTTCAGCCTTGACTGAAAGAACCTTCCAGTGCTTTACTTTTTACCTCTTTCCTTTTATTCTCAGGATGAGCAAGATGCAGCCAGTTACTTCTTCTTGGCCTTGGCTGCTGCCACTGAGTTTGATGACTGTGGTTGGCAAGGCAAGATCCAAGCCAGGTTGGCTCAAATATTTACTGATACCCAAACAAATAAGAATCCAAGTGGGTGGACAACCTATCGGGCCCGATGGTTAAGCGAAGGAAGACATGATGTATGAGCCATCTGTTAATAGAATTCACAGCTCTTGATGAAAGGACATCATTGTCCCTCTGCCAAGAAAAGAAGAGAATTGTCAATCTGGTGCTTCTAGTCCCTTGTGTTTCTGAATGAATAGAAATCTTGTGGGCTGTTGTAAATGGATATACACTGGCCATCAGCTAATGTGCGAGTGTGAGTGAAAAAGCAAGCTCATTTTTTAAATTTTATTTTATCAGCTACATGTAAAGAAGACTTCATTCACATACATGGGCCTTATTTAAGAGATTAGAGGACGTAAAAAAATCAGTTAAAGCAAGACTGAGAGCCAGCTGGTTATAATGATTAAGACACTAGGTTAGAAACTGGGTGAGTGTGAGTTCTAATCTTGCCTTAAGCACAAAGCAAGTTGGGTGACCTTGGGCCAGCCAATTTCACTCTTTAGCCAACCACTTCTGAAAAACCTCACCAAGAAAACAGCAGACTTCTTTGGGCAGTCTCTGAGAATCAATGTCATTGAACAGAAGGGGGAGGAAAAGCAAGATAATGAATGCACACCATAAAAGCTGAAAAGATATGGGGGTGCAGATTGTGTGTGATAAGAAATAAATGGAGCTGATCCTTGGAGAGAATATTCAACATGCACCCATTCATCCTCAGTACCAAAAGACAAAGTCCTTTACAAGATAGCAATCAACAGAAAGCCTCTTGACAGCCTGAGAAAGAGTGCGAGAAATTGCTCTTGCAACAAATGTGATTCTTTGTTCCTGTGTATCTCATCAGTTATCTGTGCTTAGACCAGGAAAGGGACAGAATCCACCCACTCTGCTCAAAAGGCTAAACAAAACCAGATCTATGTTTCAGTGGAAAACATCATGAAATCCCAGGGTTCAAGCTGGCTATGAAGTAAAAAAAAAAAAGCATCGCAATAAATTGCTTCTATATTATTGCCAAGAAAATAATGCAAGAGCATGCATAAAGTCACCAAGGGCTAGGTATAACTCAAATACTTATCAGTATTTATATTTATTTTGGTTTCTCATTAATATCTGCCTCACACTTCAAATAAACTAAGATCTCAAAAGGACCCTTTGGAAAGGATGGAAACGAGAATACCATATCCTAAGTATGGTTAAATGAGCTCTTCAGAGGTATCTCCTTCCTTCTTAATGGATTGTGTTGCCAGCTCTCCACTGATCCTGAAGAAGAAAGGAAATGGCCCCTGTATATCTAGAGAAGGAGGGAAGGACATGATTGGAAGCTTCTTGGGAAAGCAAAGAAACCTCCATACTCAGCCAGATGTATTGGGCTTCCATACTGCTGGAAGGTGACTACAAAACTTTCAGATTCTTTCTCTCAGTGAGATACCCTCAGGAAGAGCATGCTTACCACACTACTATAGCTGTATCTGACATGTAGCTCATTGGATTTCTTTGAATCATTTGCTCTCTGCCCATCCTACCTCACAGGATTATGAAGGTCTTTTAACAAACTACACATGAGATGACCTCTATGCATGATGGCTTGATTTGATCTCTTTAGAAGAAAGTCAGGAAATAAAGACATACACTTCTTTTTGCCTGTAAACTATTGACTGTCCTCATAACCAAGAATCAAAAATTTGTTTTCAAGCTGGGTTTTTTTTTCAGAGTAACAAAAAAGGAAGTTAAAATTCTTAGGAGGCTTAATGCTGTGCTAGCTTTGAGATGCTACAGATTTACAGACCATCTTGTAGCCCCACCAAATATATTCAGGTTCAAATGAGAAGTCAAAGCCAATTGTCCAGGATTTCTGCATGTGGAAATATTTTAATATGACCAGGGCTAAACGTGGGAAGCTGAACTGATGCTATGTAGTTGGACTGTGCTTCCTTAGAAGTCAGGGTACAAATCATTTGGGGGCCAAAGAGAATATCTGTCTTCTGAACAGCATGCCAGAAGTAAGATCCATAAAAGGAGTGTGACCAGGATTACATCTGATTTAATTAAATTTAAAATTAAATAAATTAACTACAGAACCAATAGTAGAATAACTCCCAAATTCCTGATTTTTTTTCCTTAAAAATTATAAACAGGTGGGAAATTTGGACCAATTCTGGGCTCAAAGGCTTTAGGGAGCAGCAGATTGTTTCAATCAACTCATTTTGCTTCATAAAGCACTCTTGAAATTCTTGCCTTGCCTCTAAGATTTTGCTCTTGAAATGAAATGTAGCACAGACACAAATTCACCTTATTTTGTTTTTTTTCCCCAATAATATTCTAGAGATGCTTATTCATCCATTTCCATCATAGGATGAATACGATGTCTCAACAATTTAGAGCAGACCTGATTCCCCATGCAATAAATAATGGTTATGCCAGATTGTATTTTGAATATTAAGGAAGAAACACAAACCAGTTGCCTGCTTTGTGTCTGAATGTTGAGTTTTTCACAAAGGTATCAATCAAAGTGGTAAAGGACATGTCACAACTGTTGAAGGAAAAGTCTTCATCATGGTTCAGTCCAAGCCAGGAATAAAACAACATGGTGACTGTTTTAGAAAGAAGGTTGCAGTTTATTGAAGAGGAGAGCCAGACAGAAAGATGGCTCTGGAAGAAAAAAGAGAGTGAGCACATGTAGGGAATGGACTTTTATACCTTCTGGAGCCTTTTGTTTGGAGTTGTTCCTGTGACATGAACTTTGACCTGAGTCTGAGTGTGCCCTTTGGTATCTGTAGGTTAATCCTATTATGTCCTGTCTTAGAGTTTGGGTGGGGTATGTAGATTTTAGGTGTCTTTGTCTTCTTAATCTTCTAGTTGGGGTCCTCCAACCTTCCTGGATTATTTACATCTGCTTTCTACAGAGCTGGTTTCTGCTTGGGGGAGGGAGACTTGGGACTACTAAGAAAAACTGGGCATGCTTTTCTGCCTCTTTAAGATCCTTTGAGGAAATATATTTTTCTGCCCTTTAATATTTCCTTTTGTTCCCACACAATGAAACTGGAGAAGTATGCATAAAACTAACATTGTTTGTGAAAATCTTCTTGGTTATACCAGCAGCCATTCTGAAGCAGTACAATAATTATAAATTTTTCAATTCTCCACAAAACATTGCTACAGCCATTCGCAATGACCTCAGAACAAATGTTGCAGCACTTAAATAACTAAATACAACAGGGTCATGGCTCAAAGTTAGACTACTTGTTAGTTATGCAGATGGCTTCAGGCATATTCTTTATCACCTTGCTTGAAAAAAGCCTCCAATAGCAAATCTGAGGATTTATCTGAAAGGCCCACCTAACATCTTCCAGATATGAGCTAATGATCTGATTCTATATGACAGCTACCTATGTTAATGTATGATCGTGGGTGTTACATTGATTAAACAGATTTTAGTATTTGCTTTTTACTTGTACCACAGCTCGTCTCACCATTAGAGGGCAATAAATGCAGTATTTTCAATTCCTTTAGACCTTTCAGTCCTTATTAAGAACAAGAATCTGTTAAGAAATTGATGAAGGCTTCTAAGCAGTCTGAAGTTTTAAGACTTATCTATGGCTGGATATGTTGAGAAACATGACATTTTTTCTGTACATTTCTCTACATCGTATACAAATGAAATTTCCTAAATGTTATGCACAGAAAGTGAGATTTGTTATCCTACACTCATTTGGGGGGGGGGGAGTCTATTGCAATAACAAAAACTTGCTTCTCAAAAAAAATGACAAAAGAATTATCCTTTATTGTTTAAGACAGAATTTAAATGATGTCATGGTATAGTATGACTTAAGCCGGAATATATTATTTGAATAACACATATCCTTTGAAAAAATACTGAAGCAGTTCAAAAGACTTCATGACAGCATACACAATCTCTTTCTCATATACATATGTGCCTACACCTTTCTTCTTCCTTATATAGAAATAGATTTACTCTTTCACTAAATTTTTACCTGCTTTGACTTGACTGGACAATGCCTGGAATAATAGGTGGAAATAAAAGGTGAAAAATATTTTGCTTTTCTGCTCTCTGAGCTGGTTGCTGCCTACCTCAGAAAGATGAGTTAAGACACTGCCTACAGTTTTCCACAGAAATGCCAAGCAGATCTGCCAAACTCCCAAAGCCCAAATCTTTATTTGGACGTTCAAGTTTATGGTTATTTATTTTACTTCCTTGGAGTTCTGAGAAAGTTAATGTAAACAATCCATGAGAAAACCTACAGGACACTTGAATATGCACCAGGAGCATTGTTTGGCTTCTTTTCTGGGTTTTAATTGCTCTACTCTTGAAACCCTTTCTCCCAGTAATAGAAAATACTTGTAGCTCAGGTTTTAGATTTTGGCAGTGGTTTTTTTCTCCAAGCTTGTTTCAATATAATTTCTGAACGTTTTGTTGCCAAACTAGGTAATACCAGCAGCAGGATTTTCTTGTCCTATTCTCCTTAGTTCATAAATGTCTTTTGTGCCAGTGTGCTCAGTTGGTCGTGCAATTGGTCAAAGATAAAAAATCCCTGATTTCAAACCACATTGATGATCAACACACCAATTCGATTGGGAAGGAACAAAAATTATTGGGCCTGCCAGCACCTGCCTCACAGGCGAACTTATTGAGGCCTGGTTAAGCATATTGATCTAGATCCAATATATCAGTATGTAAGAAACCAGACCATTAGAAGTGCCATACAACAAGAGAACCAATCAGCTCAAATATAGCTCCTAACAAACAACCAATCGCATGACTACCGTATATTCTGGTGTATAAGGCGACCTGGTGTATAAGATGACTCCCATCTTTGGCGCCGAGTCGCATGCCTATAAAGTCGTCTTATACGCCGGAAACTACCGTAATTACCAGCGTATAAGACGACTCAGCGTATAAGACAACCCCCGACTTCGGCGCCAATTTTACCGCTTGCAAAAGTCGTCTTATATGCCGGAAAGTACAGTAACTGACCACACTGGCACACAAGATATTTATGAGCTAAGGAGAATAGGACAAGAAAATCCTGCTGATGCTGTTGCCTAGTTTGGTAACAAAACATTCAGAAATTATATTGAAACAAGCTTGGAGAACAAACCACAGTCAAAACCTTTCTCAAAGTTCTTGATCATTTCAATTTGGCAGTGACAGAAGTACTTTTCTAGGGATCTGCATTTCCAATTGCCAATATCTGGAATGAAGGCAACGTTGGTCCAAATGAGCTTTTTTTCTGGAAAGCTGGTGAAAACAATACTTAAAGCAGAGAAATCCAGTTTCAAGATATTGCTTAACCAATCAATCTCCCTGGGTCTCTTTGGGTCAATCACTCTGTCTCAGTGAACCCTGTGTATGCCATGTTGAGCTTATATATATATATATAATGAACTTTTCATTAGTTTCAACATGGAGGCTTTAGAAATTTAACTCAGAGTGTTTGCCTGAAATTAGAATTTATTTTTTTTTTACTAAGATTCACTGCTTTCCTGACTAACCCTTTTGTACTCAAGAGACACAAAGAGTGGTGGTTAGAAAGAGCAATCCTTTTGAGTGTTGGTTAACTAGTATACTTGGTGCTAAGATATGGCAAGTTCAATCCCCAACATGTTTGCTTGAAAATCCAAACCACTGAACTCTATGGGGATACCTTTCTAGCAAGCACACTTTAGCAAATTAAAATGGTAGATTTTGCTCTGCTTAAATACACTTTTGACAGCAGGAAACTCTCCCATCTCCTATAAAGTAAGTGAACAGGCATGCCAGCTAAGAATGTGACTCAAGAACTAACTTCTAAGTCCCCTTTAATTCACTGCATAGCCTGGGGAAAATTAAATAAGTGTATTACTCTCCCATTTCAAAATGTCCCACATGGCACAATTTCTTTTCCTTCCTTGACAGATCTTAGTTGTCTTCATAGTGGGAAGTAAAACCTTGGTGCCCAGAGATAATTTTGATATTTAAGAGACATCCCAGCAATTTGACAATGCTAATAGAGAAACTGTTAATTCAGAAGACATCCACATTGGTCTTACATTGTAGGTGAAAATTATTTTTTTTATCTTTGATTGGGAGCTGTCCAAAGTTGGTTGAAAGATGTGTGACAATAGGCATATTTTAAATAAATAAAATAAAAATGAGACTTTCCAGTTGTCAATTGTGCACTAACCCCATCATTTTCCCCCTGATAATTAAATTTTAAAAAGCACTGTTTTCCATGAAATAGGAGTTTATCCCCTTCCTAGTACAGGTATTATGATTTATTTTATGAATGACTGATAATGAAAAATGAGCTGCTGAAGTTTCTGGTAAACACCGAGATGCTGGGTCTGTACAAGTGAAGACTGGAAAACAGTTGAAGGCTGGAAAATCTGGTTGATCTCAAGAGCTGAAGGAAGGTAAATGGAATGAACATAACACTGTCATCTAAAGAATAAAAGTTTTGCCATCTGCCGTAGATTTATCCTTTAGAAATGCTATAGTGTCAGCCTGTATTCCTCTTATAGTTATAGTTGCTTAGGAGTGTAAAAAAACCCCTATAAATTAAAAATGCAAAATGATAGTTAACCCAGTAAGAATAGCCCTATGATTAAAAGTTATGGAGGGAAATAGTTGTTGTGGTCATGATTATTTAC